CGGGAGGGCCCTTTGGGCCACCAAGATGGGTAGAGCGCCAGCCACTCCAGCGCCATCCTTCCTGGGATCTCTTCCCAGGGCTGGAAAGGAGCACAACCCCCACCACCACCACCACCACCACCACACAGGCAACAGCCACACCCTTCAGGCTGGGGGCTGGGGCAACAGGCTGCTGGACCCCAGCTCAGCTCGGCACCTCGGCCTGAGTCGGCAGCACCAGGGGCAGCACCTGGCCCCCTCCTGGTGCCCAGGCGTGGGTGGGGTCCTGGCAGACCTGCTGGCACAGGCTTTTCCTTATCCTGGCTAAGCCTCCGCCCAGCCTGACTCTGGAAGCCCTGTCTTGGCTGGGGTGGGGTGTGCCACTGGAGCTGCAGGGGCTGCCTGCAGGGGTACCCACACCTGGAGGCTGAGTGTCAGGTTACCATGGGGACCAAGCCAGGCTACCTGAGGTCTGGAGGACAGCTTCCACCGCAGCCCTGCCCGCAGTGTGGGACAGGATGGGATGGGCTGAGAGAAGGATTCTCGCTGGCCAGACACCCCCACCCCGGGCTCCCCGAGCCAGATTGGCAGTGATCTTGCTGCCCCCCTTCCACACACACTACTGGCTCTCAGGGATGAGGCAAGGGTCACTCCCGAGGCTAGGACATTCCTCCTCTTTGAGCCAACTCAGAATCTGCATCCCAGAGGGGAAACTGAGGCAGAGACGGTCTCCGCTCCCCCAACACCAGGATGGGACCTATTGGCCATGTCCACGAGCAGGACACCACGGTCTGGCCCAAGTGAGGGGACAAGAGTATGGCTAGGAACTAGGGCTGGCCGGCACTGCCGGACGTGTGGCGGTGGCTTCAAGGGACCCTGCTGGGTTCTGTGGCTGAAGCGCCCAGGGAGACTACAAGCCTATGACCCAGGTTTCCCCGGCCCCAGAAGCTCCTCTGCCTTGGGACCAAATCAGGGCAGGGCTGGACAGGGATGGCCACAGCCTTCCAGCATCTGCCCTACAGGACGGCAGGTTCCAGGGCGCCTCCCACGAGTGGAGGACTACTCTTGGGGCAGAGAGCGAGTGAGTGAGCGAGCGAGCACGCCTGGCTCCCCGCTGCGGGGAATGGAGGGTTCTGGTTCACTCTGGGGCCTGTAGGGCCAGGAGCTGACCAGGAGGCCTGCCTGCCCTGCCCAGAGCTGAGCGCATCCTGTGTCCTGCTGCCCTGCTGCGGTGCCTTCCGGGAGCGGGTGGGGCGGGGAAACTGCTCAGTCCTGGGGCTGTTTGCTTCCTGGTGCCTGCCCTGGGACAGGAGGGGCAGGGAGGGCGGGCCTGCCCAGAACAATGGCTGGAGCCAGGCCTGGCCAGGGCAGGGGCCCTGCTGGTGTGACTGGGTCCTGCCTTCCACTTTTGTCCCAGATGCAGCCGTCTGTCCTGGGAGCCTGGACTGTGCCCTGAAACGACGAGCGAGGTGCCCCCCGGGTGCACACGCCTGTGGGCCCTGTCTGCAGCCCTTCCGGGAGGAGCAGGGGCTCTGTGTGCCCAGGGCACGCCGGCCTCCGGGTACGTGAGAGCAGAGGGCCAGGAGAGGTGGGGGTGTCTGCCTCCCCTCCCTGCCTTCTCGAGAAGGCCCTGTTCTCACCTTGCAGCCCTGTGAAGGTGGCCACCCAGTGCCCTGAGCTCTGTGGGGGCTCAGGGCTCTTCCACATGGAGCCTGGGGCAGTCGGCCTCCCCTTGGACCAGGGCATCAAATGGGTGCTGGGGTGTCTAAGGAGAGGAGGGGTCAGTCCCCCAGCCTGGGCCCCAGAGGGCCTGCCAGAAACCTCTCCAGGTGCCTCCTCCCCTCGGGCCCCTCCTCTCCCTGCCCCTGCTGCTGCCACTGCCTCTGCCGAGGCCTGTCCACAGATGACAGACGTTTCTGAGCACTGCCCGTGCTGCGGGCTGGGGGTGCCCACCAGCCGGCCAAGCACAGCACCTGTCGGAAGGCTGGCTGCTGAGCGGCGTCTGGTGTCATGGGGTTTGACAGCGGCGCGGGGTATGCCCAGCAGGGGCTGCTGTGGTGTGTGCCGGATCTGGGGTCCCATCTGGAGCTCATGTGGGAACCCTGCCCTGCCCTGGCAGCTGCCCCCCTTCCTGATGGCCTGTCAGGGAGCCTGGGTGCACGGGTGGGCTTGGCCTCATCCTGCTCCTGGGAGTCACTGCCTACTCCCTCTTGTCCTTGGGGGAGGTGGGCGTGCAGCCCCACGAGCTGCCACCCTTAGGGCAGGGTGAGGAGGGACCCCACTCCCTCTTCCTGCCTGGTCTCTGCACACCCCCAGCACCTCCACCCCCACTTTCCCGGGGACTGCAGCAGCCCATGCCACCAACAACAGGATGGTAAGGGCCCACAGGCTGGCCCTGGCCCTCAGGCCACCAGAGCCAGGTGCAGCTGGTGCTGCCCTGAGGCCAGGGCCTCTCCACCTGATGGCCCTCCCCCTCCCCAGGGGAGGGCCCGCCCCAGCCCAGCCTGGAGGAGGAGATTGATGGCTTGGCCCAACAGCTCGCAGGAAAGGAGGCTGGGCACTCAAGGGCCACAGCCCAGCCCCTTTCTGAGGCCCGACTGCGCCTCCTGGAGCCTGGTGAGACCCCTCCCCATCTCCCCTCCCCCCACTTTGACCGCGCCTACCCCTGTCTCAGCTGTCCCCTCTCTCAGCAGCCACCCTGGGGTTCTCGGAGCGGGGTCAGGGACCCGAGCTCGGCCTCCCGTCCACTCGGGGAGCCCCTGCGCCCACGCCGCGCACTTCTGTGGGCTCCCCTGTGTCATCTGGGCCGGTGCACATGGCCCCCCTGGAGCCCCGGGTCGGACGCCATGACGGCCTCGCTCTCGGTAGGTCTCAGAGGGTGGGGGTGAGGTGGGGTCCCACGGAGGACCGCCCCTCACTGCGCCCCCTCCCGCAGTGCTGATCCTGGCGTTCTGCGTGGCCGGCGTGGCAGCCCTGGCGGTGGCTACCCTCTGCTGGTGCAGGTGAGCCGGGCGGGGCGGGCC